CGTCTTGGCGGGGTCGGCCTTGGAGGGCACCAGCACGCCGGCGATGCTGCCCGTTCCCTCGAGGTATCGTCTCACATCCTCCTTCTTTGCTATTTCTTCTGCCGTCTCTTTTCCTTCCTTGAGTTTTCGCATGGTTTCCTCTGTTATTATCTGTGCGCTGAGAAGCTCTGACGCTGTGATTTGTTGTCTGATGCCTTGGAACCAAACGTCACTTCTGTGTTGCTCTTTCTCCCTGATGATGTTTAATATTACGTCGATGATTCTCTGCACGATGTGGTGGGATTCCTCTTTATATTTTTTCAAGAGTTCTTTTCTTTTCTCTTCTGTGATGTACTCGGAGCACAGCAGTTCCCACAGCGACAATTCACTGCCTTTGTATTTCCCGACAGACACCTCCACCCTTGTTGCCATCAGCGCTTTCTTTGTACGCTCGTCGATGTAGAAATAGTCCTCCTCTTTCTCCAGGAGCGGCAGCAGGTACAGCCCCGTGTCTGTGTCTCTGGAGCACCGTTTCAGGAGCTGACTGTAGCTGCTTTTCTCGCGGATGTTTGGGTCTATAAATCCTTTGCTGCCGTGGTCGGGATCAGAAAGCAGGAGGAACGTGTCCCCGTCCAGGTGGCCGCGCCGGTAGGCCACCTCCACAGGCAGGCGGTGGCTGTGCACGGGGTCGACGATCCCACCAGTGGCCATCTGGGCCTCCAGCAGGCGGATGCCGTGCTCCTTGGCTGCTACCTTACTCCTCATGGCCTGGAAGAGGGAGATCTTAGTGCCCACCTGGGGATCTGTGTATCCTGTCACGGCTCTCTCTGCAGACAGCAGCTTCTCATGCAGCTCGCTGCCCACCAGCCCGGAGGAGACGGCCTCGTCCACGGAGAGCTTCTGGTTCTTTACTGGGTCGATGATGAAGCCGGTGGCAGCCTGCGCCTCCAGCAGCCCCAGCGCACACTGCTCAGAGAGGAGCCCCCTCTCCATTGCCTGGTAGATGCTCATCCTCTCTTTCCTCGATGGCAGGAGCACTCCGGCGATGCTCCCGGTGCCATCCAGGTACCTTCTGACTGCGTCCCGCTTGGTGAGGCTGTCAAGAGTCAGGCTCCCATCCTGCAGCTGCTCCAGAGTCCCCTTGTCAATTATCTCCGAGTTGAACAGCTCTGACACCGACACCTCGCCCCGCAGTCCTTTAACCTTGAGGGCTTCTCCTTTCTGCTCTGTATCCTCAATTACTTTGAGGATGAGAGCTGTAAGGTCTTCCAGAGTAAGAGTCTTGCCTTTGTATTGCTTTAATAGTTCTTTCCTTTTCTGCTCCGAGATATAGTGAGAGTAGAGGATGTCCCAGACAGACACCGTTTGGTCCTTGAATCTTCCAACTCTCACTTGAAGAGGCTTTGACTGCAGAACCTGTCTCGTCAGCTCATCGACGTAGAAGTATTTCCCCCCTTCCTGCACAACCTGCAGCATGTACAACCCCGTCTCTGCGTCCTGAACGCACCTCTCCAGGAGCTGCATGTAGGTGAGGTTCTCGTGCGTGTTGGGGTCGAAGAAGCCCTTGGTGTCGTCGCTGGGGTCGGACAGGACGCGGTTCATCTCCTCATTGAAGTACCCGCGCCTGTAGGCCACCTCCACGGGGATGCGGTGGCTGTGCACGGGGTCGATGATGCCGCCGGTGGCGATCTGGGCCTCCAGCAGGCGGATGCCGTGGCTCTTCACGATCAGCCCTTGGTTCATGGCTTCGAAGAGGGACATGGGTGCTTTTGTGTAGGGGTCAACGTAGCCCGTCACAGCTCTTTCTGCAGAGAGCAGCTTTTCATAAACCTCCACGCCGACGAGTCCGGCCTCCAGCGCCTCCTCCACGGAGAATTTCTTGTTTTTCTCTGGGTCGATGATGAAGCCGGTGGCGGCCTGCGCCTCCAGCAGCACCAGCGCCGTGCCCGGCCTCAGGATGCCCTTCCTCATGGCCTGGTAGATGCTCATCTTCTCGTTGCTCGGCTGGATGAGGACCCCCGCTATGAAATTGCTGCCCTCCAGGTAAATGCGGACAGAGTCCATTTTGGTGACTTCTTGGACCGTTTTCTTCCCCTGGTTGAGCTCATCGAGGGTTTTTTTGTCTATCAGCTGGGACCGGAAGAGATCACCGGCAGACACCTTTTTCCGCAGACCTTTGAAGGCGAACTTCCTGCCTTGTGCCTCGGTCTCTGCGATAATGGTGGTGACAGTCGTTACGATTTCTCGCAGTGCTTCGGCATTCTCGTCTTTGTATTTCTGCACCAGCTCTCTCCTTTGGCCGTCCGTGATGTACTCAGAGTTGAGGAGGTCCCAGACGGACACCGTCTGCCCTTTGAAGCGCCCTACGTTGACGCAGACGGTCACGGATTTCAGCACCTCCACGGTTTGGTCGTCCACGCAGAACATTGCATTTTTGGACAGAGGAAGGAGCCAGAGACCCATCTCAGCCTCATAAACGCACCGGTCCTTCAGCTGCTGGTAGGTCACGTTTTCCTTCGCGTTCGGGTCAAAGAAGACCTGGGTGCTGTCGTTCAGCTGCGCGAGGCTTTGGTTCAAGTCCTCGTCGAAGAAGCCGTACCTGTACGCAGCCTGGAGTGGGAGGTGATGGTGGTGGATGGGATCGATGACCCCTCCGGCGGCCAGCTGGGCCTCCAGCAAAGGCACAGCATCAGCCATGGGAACGAGCTCCTTCCGGACCGCCTGGCACAGGGAGATGGGGCTCCCGGTGTAGGGGTCTGTGTAGCCCACCACCGCCCGCTCCGCACGGAGCAGCGTCTCGGTGAGCTCTTTGCCAACGACGCCGGCCCGCACAGCGTCCCTCACGCTGAGCCTGCGGCTGGTGGCGGGGTCGGTGAGGTACCCGGTGGCCGCCTGAGCTTCCAGCAGCTTCAGGGCAACCCCAGGCAGGAGGAGGTTATTCTTCATGGCGTCGTAAAAACTCATTTTCTGTTTGGATTCCTCTAGGATCACCCCAGCGATGCTGCCCGTGCCCTGCAGGTACCTCTTCACGTCGCCCACTTCAGCCACCTCCTCAGGAGTTCGGATGCCCTGAGCCAGCTCTTCAAACATCTTCTCCGTGAGGATGCCGGCCTCCAGCAGCCGGACGGCAGGGACGCTGCCCTGCAGACCCCCCAGCACGATGTGGGTGCGGGCTTTCATTTCCATCTCCCCCACCAGCCCAAGCACCAGCGCAATCAGCTGCTGCAGCGACATTTCCTTTGCACGGAACCTCTCCACGAAGCTCCTCCGCTGCTCTTCGGTGAAGTACCCGGAGTGGATGAGCGCCCACAGGGAGACTCCTTTCTCCTTCACCATGGTTTCCTGGAAGAGCCCTTGGATTTGCTCATCCGTGTAGGCAGGAGCGGCCGTCTGCCGCAGAGGCAGCAGGTGGAAGCCAGACTCCTCGTCCTTCTGGCAACGCTGGATGAGCTCGGCATAGCTCACGTTCTCCTTGCTGTCTGGGAGGCAGAAGGCTCTGTTGCTGTCGCTGGGCTCGGAAAGGGCTCTGCTTGTGTCCTCATCCAGGCACCCGCGCTTCTGGGCGGCCTCGATGGGGACGTGGTGGCCACACGCGGGGTCGATGATGCCTCCGGTCGCCATCTGCACCTCCATCAGCTGCATGGCCTGCTTGTCAGCAATCAGACCCTTCTTCATGGCCTGGAAGAGGGGAATCTTCCTGCCCGTGAAGGGGTCTTTGTAGCCCGACACAGCCCCTTCTGCTTGCTGCAGCTTCTCGTGCACCTCTGGCCCGATGACGCCCTCCTTGACGGCCTCGTCCACACGGAGCTTCTGGTTGTTCACGGGGTCGATGATGAAGCCCGTGGCAGCCTGCGCCTCCAGGAGCGGTAGGGCCACTCCGGGTACCACGATGTTCTGTTTCATGGCCTCGTAGATGCTCATCCTCTGGTTCGAGGGCTGGAGCACGATGCCTCCGATGCTGCCGGAGCCGTAGAGGTACTTTCTGACCGAGTCCATGCGCAGGACTTCCTCGGGGCTGACGGACCCCTCCAGCACCTCCTCCAGCAGGGTCCTGTCAATGATGCCCGTCTCCATCAGGTGGTACGCGCTGACGCTGCCCCTCAGGGCCGGGAACTTGATGGGGGCCCACTTCTTCATCTCCTCCTCCAGCATGGCCCGGATCTGCTCCAGGCTGAGCTTCTTCAGCCGGTAGTGGTTGAAGATCTCGCGGCGCCGCCCCTCGCTGAAATACTCGGAGGTCAGCAGCTCCCACACAGAGACCCTCTCTCCGCGCAGACGCCCGAAGCGGACGGGCATCCAGGAGCTGCAGAACAGCTCACGCGTGGCAGCATCCACGAACTGCCGCCTCTTGCTGTTCAGGGGGAGCAGGCAGAGACCGCTGCCCGGCTCCGTCACGCACTTCTCCTTCAGCTGCAGGTAGGTGAGGTTCTCCTCCGTGTTGGGGTCGAAGAAGCCCTTGGTGTCGTCGCTGGGGTCGGACAGGATGACGGTCATCTTCTTGTCCAGGTAGCCGCGCTTGTAGGCCACCTCCACGGGGATGCGGTGGCTGTGCACGGGGTCGATGATGCCGCCGGTGGCGATCTGGGCCTCCAGCAGGCGCACGCCGTGCTCCCTGACGATCAGCTCCTTCTGCATGGCCTGGAAGAGCGAGATCTTGTCCCCTGAGCAGGGGTCTCGGTACCCGGTGACACATTTCTCTGCTGACAGCAGCTTGTCGTAGACGTCGGGGCCGATGACGTTTGCCCTTAAAGCCTCGTCCACAGAGTAACGTTTGTTGGCCGCCGGGTCAATGACGAAGCCGGTGGCAGCCTGAGCCTCCAGGAGGATCAGCGACGTCCCTGGCCTCAGGAGCCCCTTCCTCTTGGCCTGGTAGATGCTGATCTTCTCCTGGGATTCGGGAAGCAGCAGCCCAGCAATGCTCCCGGTCCCTTCCAGGTACTTCCTGACCGTGTCCATGCCCACTACTTCCTTGGCTGACGTTTCCCCCTCCTTCAGCTTCTTGAACAGATCCCGGTTGATGATCTCGGAGCTCAGGAGCTGGTCGGCGGTCACGCGTCCCCTCAGCCCTTCAAAGGTGATGTTGGCTGCAGAAGCCATTTCCTCAACGGCGGCACGGACGGCCTCGGCCATCTCCCGCATGGAGAGCGCTCCCTCCAGGTGCTGCCGGGTGAGGGCGGCTCTTTGCTCGCTCTGGATGTAGTCAGAGAAAAGGAGCTTCCAGAGAGACACCGACTTTCCTTTGAACTTGCCTACGGCGACGGGCACCTTTGTGTTCTCCAGAGCCGTTTGGGCGCCGCGGTCGAGGAAGAGGCGCGTTCCTTGGCTTCCGTCACCGAGCGGCAGCAGCAGGAGCCCGGTGCTGGGGTCGGTGACGCACTGCGCCAGCAGCTCTGCGTAGCTCAGCTTCTCCTGGGAGCCGGGGTGGAAGAACCCTTTGGATTCCTCGGTGGGATTGGCGAGGAGCTGCAGGGTGCTCTCATCCAGGTATCCCCAGCGGCACGCGGTCTCGGCGGGGACACGGAGGTGCCGGCCCGGAGCGATGACACCGCCGGTGGCCATCTGAGCCTCCAGGAGGTGGAGGCCGTGGTCCCTGGGGACGAAGCCCTTGCTCACGGCTTGGAACAGGGACAGCATCTCCCCGGTGCGGGGGTCCCTGTAGCCGCTGATGGACCTCTCTGCTGAAGACAGTTTCTCATGCAGCTCGGGGCCGACGAGGCCGCTCCTGACGGCCTCATCCACGGAGAAGCTCCTGTTCTGGATGGGGTCGATCAGGCTGCCGGTGGAGGCTTGCACCTGCAGCAGCGCCAGCGCAGCTCCGGGCAGCAGGAGGTGCTCCTGCAGTGCCTGGTAGAGGCTCCTCCGCTCCCCGGAGGGCAGAACCACGCCGGCCACGCTCCTTGTGCCGCGCAGGAACCGCTGCACCGCGTCGTCCTCTGCCACCTCCCCCGCTGACACCTTCCCCTCCTGCAGAGCCCTGAGCGTGTCGGGGCTGATGATGCCGGCGTCCCGCAGCTCCGTGCCACTCACTCGCCCTCCCAGCCCCGCAAATGTGAGCTGCAAGGGCAGCAGGAGGAGCCCCGAGGCCGGATCCACCACGCATAGCCCCCTGAGCTCCGCGTAGCTGACCCTCTCCATGCTGTTGGGGTCGAGGAACCCTTTGCTCTCCTCGCTGCCATCAGACAGGAGCTGCCCCGTCTCCTCATCCAGGAGCCCCTTCTCGCAGGCAGCCTCTGCCCGGAGCCGCCCGCCCGTGGCCAAGTCGATGAGGCCCCCGGTTGCCAGCTGGGCCTCCAGCAGCCGCAGGCCCTGCTCCCTCCCGAGCAGCTCCTTCTGCAGCGCCTGGAACAGAGGGATCTGCTCCTCCGTGTAGGGGTCCTTGAAGCCAACGGCTGCTCTCTCGGCAGCCAGCAGCCTCTCCTTCAGCTCCAGCCCCACCAGCCCCCTCTGCACGGCCTCTGCCACGGACACGTGTGACTTCTGCCCCACATCAGCAATGCCACCCGTGGCCGCCTGCGCCTCGAGGAGAAGCAGCGCCGGCTCCAGGCTCAGCAGGTGCTCTCTGGTGGCATCATAAAAGCTCATCGTCTTCTTCATAGCCTCCACGTACACCCCGGCGATGCTGCCAGCCGTGCCGCTGCTCTGCCCTGCCGCCGCATCCCTGCCAGCTGCCTCCAAGGGTGATCCGCCAGGATGCATCGCTGCCGCATCCCTGCTGACTGCACCAACAGGGTGCATCGCTGCCGCATCCCTGCCAGCTGCTGCCTTCTGCTTACCCGGCAGAGCATCCCGGGACTTTGCTCCCGGCTCGTCCCTGTGCTCGCTGTGACCGTTCATCGCCGCCCCGTTCACTGCTGCCCCATTCACCACTGCCCCGTTCAGCACTGCCTCGCTCGCCATCCTCCTGCTCCCTTCGCGCCGTGTCCCCTTCACACAACCTGCTGAGAGGGGAGAGAATGGGGAAAATCAGTGAGAAATCTGCCTTTCTATGCTTTGCAAGCTACACACAGGGAAGAAAAAATGTATCTCATGGGCAGTGGGGGTGAGCAGCCATGGGCTGCCCAGAGAGGCTGTGATGCCCCGTCCATCCCTGGAGGTGTTCAAGGCCAGGTTGGATGGGGCCCTGGGCAGCCTGGGCTGCTGTGAAATGGGGAGGTTGGTGGCCCTGCTGTGGTGGGGGGTTGGAGCTTCGTGATCCTTGAGGTCCCTTCCAACCCAACCGTTCTGTGATGCTATGATTCGCTGTGTGTCTCCCCGGTGCACGGAGCTGGGCCCGCTGCAGGCACACCTCTGCTGCTCCCCGAGCTGCAGCGCCGGCTCCGTGCGGGATGCGCAAGGATGTGACGCTGTGCAGGGAGCTCAGGGCTGCACCCGAGGGCACCGGGGTGAGGTGGGCAAAGCCCCAAGAAGGCATGGAGAAGCGAGTGAGTGCTGCAGACCCTTGTGGAGGAGTGGGAACTGCTGGCCTCAGGTGTGTTCGGAGAGCTGCTGGCTGCGCAGGGGCTGCCAAAGCAACAGGAGGCAGCCGAGCGCTGCGCCGTGCAAACCGGAGGGAACGGCTTCAAACTGACCACAGATGGGAGCAGATTGGGGGGCGAATCCCTTCCCCGGAGCCACCCCTGGAGGTGCCTGGGGCTGTGGATGAGGCCCTGAGCTGGCGGGGGTCACCCAGCACCCCGCAGGGCTGAGGCTGAGCTCCGGGGGGCTCCTTTCCAACCCAGCGTGATGCTGAAGGGCGCTTCCAGCCCGACCGTCGCACGGCTCCGCGTCCCACGGCTCCGTGGGGGGCTGTGCGGAGCGGCGGAGCCTCAAGACGGCTCCTCAGAGCCACCCGGGCTGGGAGCAGCTCCGCAGCAGCGGAACGGCGATGCGAGGCACCGAACGCTGAGCCGCTGCGGCTGCACCGGGGTGAGGACTGGGTGCGGGTCCCACCCTCGGCTCACAGCCCTGCCCGGCGCCAGCAGAGCAAACATCGGCAGTGCGGGCGGTGCAGCTGTGGGCACGCAGGCTCGGCGAGCCCCACGTGCAACCTGAGCAAAGCGGGCACCGGGGAGGGGGCCCCCGCACGGCCCGAGCCCATCCTGCAGGGCCCCGGGCACGGAAACCGTCTCTGATTCTGCTTCCGTAGCTCCAAACCTTCAGCCCGGAGCGGGGCAGCGCTCAGGTTTGACACAA